AATAATAAATAATATAAAAATAGGGATATTTATAAAATAAATAAAAATTATAATAAAATATAATTTTTTATAACTAGGGAAAAATTAAGAAATTAAGGAATTTTATGTCACTACAGTAATAATATAAAGCTAATCTGTAATACAGATAGTATAAAATAAAGATTTAAACTAAAAGAAAGATAATTCAATCAAAATTGGTACAAAAATAATAAATAAAAATATTATTATTAGTAAAAATTTTTTTATAAAAGATATATTATAAAAATTTTTACATTTAAATAAATTTCAATATTTAATAACTTAATTAAATAAGGCAAAACTAAAATTTTATTTTGAAAAAATAATTTATTAATATTTATCTGAGATATAAATTTATTTATACTGGTTTATATTATATATAATTTAAATATCTCTTAATAATAACAATAATAAATATAATAATATTTAAAATATAATATTATTTGAATAAGAAATTTTATAATTTAATAATACTTTATATATTAAGATTAAGTAATATAAAATAAATTCATTTTAGTATTTATATATATAAATAAAATATTATAATATATTTATTTTTATATTATTAATTTTAAAAAGAATTAATATATTTTTATATTAAATCAAGTAATTTATTTCTTTAATAATTTTAAAAAATACAGTTCTCAGTGAAAGTAATAGTGTGTAATATTTTCATCTATATTTTAATAATAAAATATCTAAAACTCATGAATATTTGTAGATATATTCTTTAGGATATTACAAATAAGATTTTCTAATAGCGCAAGATATATTAGCTTAATAAAATTTTGTGAAATTTTGCATCAAATATGTTGAATTAGATATCTACACAAAATAACTTTGAAAAAAAATTATTTAAAAATATTTTTAATAAGTAATTTTATTTTAAGATATAGAAAATATATATGTAAGTTTAAAAAAATTTTTATTCATATTTATTTAATAAATACCAGTTAAAAAAGGCTTTATTTTAATAAATTTTATAATAAATCATAATAAAAATTCATTTTTACTATATTTTATTATGATTTATTATAAAATTCATCAAAAGAAAGGCTTTTTTTAACTGGTATTTATTAAATAAATATGCAATAAAAATTTTTTTTAAACTTATATATATATTCTTTATATCTTAAAATATATTTTTACAAAAATATTTTTAAAATTACTTATTAAAAATATTTAAATAATTTTTTTTTCAAAGTTATTTTGTGTAGATACCTAATCCAACATATTTAACAAAAATTCTGCAAAATTTTATTAAGTTAACATGTCTTGCGCTATTAAAGAAAGAATCTTGTTTATAATATTCTAAAGAATATATTTATAAACTTTTGTGAGTTTTGAATACTTCATTATTAAAATATAGATAAAAATATTATACATTACTACTTTTGTCAGGAATTATAAAAATAAAACTTGAAATTATATAAAAATTAAATAATTTATAAAATTTTGACTTTAATATTAATTATTATCTAGTATATTTATCTTTTATATTTATAATATCTTGTATATATTCTTCTATATTTTTAATTAACTTAATTAAATTTATTATTAATTTTAATTCAAATTTTTTATATTATATTTTAGTATTAATTTTAAATATAATTATTAATTAATATTTTTCTTTTATTTTATTTTAGAGATACTTACTTAATTAATTAAGATCAAATAATTGAATAGTTTAATTAAGTAAATAGATATTATTATTATTAAATTAATTATTTATAAATTTTGTTATATATTTCAGACTATTATTTAAGATTTTATAATAAAATTTCTTATTTATATAATTATAATATTATTTATATTAAAGAATTCAAAATAACTTTAAATTATTATATTTTTATCTTTAAAATTTATTATAGATTTTATATAATACTTTCTAAAAATTTATTATGATCCAGTACAAAAAGTTTGGTACATCAAATAAATATTAATAAATTATTTTTTCAAAATAAAATTTTAATTCTGTTTTATTTAATTAAGTTATTAGATATTGGAATTTATTTAAATATAAAAATTTTTATTATATATCTTTTATAAAAAAATTTTTACTGATAATAACTTTTTTTAATTATTATTTTTTAAATTTTACTATATAAAATTTGATTAAAATTAAATATAAAAATTATATAATAAATAATTTAATTACTCAACTTTGAATCTTAATATTTTTATAATTACTGATTCAATTTTTATAAAATTTAGAATATATATTTATCAAACTAGAGCAATCTACTTATATAGTTTAAAGTTCTAATCTTGCAAATTGATAGTAATAATATTTAAAATAACTTTTTTTTAAAAAAATAATTTTATTTTAGTTTTTTTTAGTAAAGTAATGCTTTATTTACTATTAAATTAAAGTATAATAAGATAATTAAAATAGTATAAAAAGATAATTTAGATTATTCTTTACTTAATATAAGAAAATTATAAAGATTAGTTAAAATTTAAATGACTTTTATTAGAAGTAATTATTGATTTTTATATTGATGTATCAATCTTTTTGCACTAGTTCATATTATATTTATAATAATATTTATAATTATCTGAATTAAAAATTATAAAATTTAATTTATTAAATCAAATAACTTTATTTTAGTTATTGATAATCTAGTAATAATATTTTTATATAAAATTTAAATGTTAAATTTGATATATTCTTTTAAAAATAATTTTTTTACTTAATTTATAAAGAAAAATTATTATAATATAAAGTTTACTTTATTATACTTGTATTAATATTAATTTTATTTCAAATTTTAATTTTTTTGAATAAATATTATAGTAAAATAACTATTATTTGAATTTAGATATATAATATTTTATTTATTATGACTAGTAAAAATTCTAGTATTATCTAATTTTGATAAATCTTTAAAGATATTATAAGTATCTTTTTTTGTTTTATTTTTATAATAAAAAATTGATAATATTTTTATAATTTATAATATAATAAAAAAAAGAATATTTTTCTTTAAGAAAAATATAAATTTGAGAATATTTTTAATAGAAATATATATTATAATATATAAAATAAAATAGTGAATTTATGAATATATTAATTTTATGTAAATAAAAGTTTAAGTTAAGTAATTTTATTTATTATAAATAGTAAAAATTCTAGAATGATTTTGATAAATCTTTAAAAAATATCATAAATATCTTTTTTTTGCTTTATTTTTATAATAGAAAATTTAAAAATATTTTCACAGTTTGTAATATAATAAGAAGAATATTCTTCTTAAGAAAATATAATTTTTTGATCTCTTTTTGACAGAAATATGTGCCATAATAATTATATTTTTTATGTATTTATATATTTATTTAAGAAGAAAAATAATCAAAAGAAATATATTATTAGTTTTGCATCATCAGTTTGGCATAATAAAAGTTCAAGTTATGTAAAGTGATGTTACATTTATTTAAATTGCATGTGTTATTTATTTATGCTTAAACTATATATAGACTGAATTTCATTTATCTGTTACTAAAAATTCTCTGATTTGTTTTCCATCCTTTACTTTTGAGTGCCACTGTAGATTGATAGGTTGATATTAGACTGTATAATTAATTATTATATAATTTCAGTATTGACAATTTCAGTATTAGTCACTATAATTACTATAATATGTAATATAAAAGCAATGTGCCAATAATTTATATAACATTTAGATACATTTAATTATATTAAATATTTACAAATTTATCACCAATTAAAAAATCAATACATGTATTAATTATAAGAATCATGAAAATTTTGACCAAAAAATTTCCTTTTAATATGCGATAATAATCAATACACCATTCGATTTAAACTGCAATATCTCATCAGCTAATAACACTCGATTATGACATAATTAAATTTTATTAATATTATTGTTAATTTCTTTGTCAAAAAAATAATTGTACGAACTTCTAATTCTTTTCATTCTTGTCGGTAAATTTTTCTGTTCGTAAGCATGATTCGGCAATAAATTTAATATTCATAAAAACATCTAACTGATTCTATTTTTGTAAGTTTTATAAAAAATTAAATAATAATTGTTAAAAAAATACGCACTATCAAAGAGAAATATTAGCTATAATAACAGTATTGCTAGTTGTCCATTTGATGAATTTGAAGTTAATGGGTTTTTCTCTAGTTAACGCTATTGCAGTCGTTGGTAGTTACATAGCTGGTTTTGGTATTATTAGTATGTTTCTAAAATTAAAGATATTGAAATTTTTCAGAATTTTATATTTATGGTTCTTTTTATTTAAAGTTCCCTACCAAATATTCTTCTTTCACTTCTTCAGCAGATAAACTCCAGTTATAATAACGAAAATTGCTATAATAATAATGATCGTTAATATTTATATTTTGTAATTCCTGCGCTATTTACTGTTATGATAAATTATACCTGATTAAGCCAGTAAACCCATTATGGAATCTATCATTTCCGATGCACAATGGTCCATTATTGTATTTGATATCTTGTTGGAAACTATGAAATTCGACCCATTTTCCATCTATGTAAAAATTTAATTTCTTTTCTGGTTCAGAGAGTGTGTAGACTAGATGATACCATCTGTTCAAAGAAAGTCCGCCGCCGACCGCATTGATTCCTGCATTCCAATCATCGGTCACCGAGAATCATGCATGTGGTGCCGAATTATTTGGTGACAAGCAGAGTGCGGGTGTACGATCTTCATTTACTTCGCCTAATATGTCAGTTTAAAAATATATATATATATTATAACTTTAACCAACAATTCCATGACCTTCTTGTAAAACGCATAACTCAGATATACCTTTATGAAAAACAGAAACATGGATGCGATTGTGAAACAGAACATTCAGTCGTAGTGTTACTGATAACTCATTTGTCACTTCTGGTAACTCGGCATGCTGTATTAATTTTCTATCTGGGATAGAGAAAGTAATTGGTTCTGAAATGCATTCATGAAAAGCTCTTGATTTTTTCCCTTTGAGCTCATTAGCAAAGACTGCAATTCTTGTCGCAGGCCCTCCTTTCATGCCATAGCTTCTAAGTATATCCTTGGTTAAATTAAAGAAGTCACGACCATTGATTCTCTCTCTGGAAATTATACTAAAATCCTCATCTATAAGTTCTAAATCTTCTTTTTGTAAAAATTCGATAAGTTTTTGCGTAGTCAACTTTCTGATCTCTGCTGCAGAAATAGAAACGCAAGTTGTCATTGTTGATATGGGTTTTGTTAGTACATGTAAATAAAAAATTTAGTGGAGAAAGTGAACAAATAATGGTATGCAATAAAGCACAGTAATAATGAACAAATTTAACGTCAGATGATCGTTATACCATTATCACTATCTTTTTATCTGTCCACAATCCGGGATACCTGTACATGGTGTTGCACAAATATGAGAATTCTGTGCCGATATCTACAATCATTGACATCAGTTTTAGGAATGTATGAAAAATTTAACGGATACATGTAATTCTCGAAATCAATTATAACATAATCCTTTTCTGCTCGAGGACCTGGCCATAAATCAAACTCGCAGTAATTACATGTATATAAAGCGCGCACAAGTGAGGCAATTATAAAAGTTAGAGCTTTAAAGCATACTATATTTAAAATTTCGTAAATATATACATTTTTGGTCTCATTGTTACATAAATAATTGGAAAAATTATTAGAGAAATCTCATGAAGGAAATTATAGGAAAAAATAAATCAATTTTGTTACTAAAAAGTTGACAATGCTACACCTGTAACAATCCTTTAGCCTCTTCGATTAATAACATTGTGTTTTAGTAGCAAACAAAGAGCGCTTAACAATTGTGTTTCACAAGGGATAGTTAATTAGTAAAATCAAAAAGAGTGAGATTAATAAAGTTAGTTGCATTTATTCCTTCAAAATTATTGATGTTAATTTTTATTCGATTATAGTCTTATTTTGACCTGTGATTTGTTATTCGAAATGTTGCGATATTCTTTGTTAATTATTTCATTAATAATTTATTAGTTTACTTGTTTTAAAGTTAGTTTAACCTTAGCTTGTCCCTTGCACATACAATATCGACACAGGCTTTAGAAACTTTATTGATATTATCTTTACAGTCTAATAGAACTAAAAAAGTTCCTTTAGTTTATTTAGTATTAGTGTTAGTCTCAATATAATAACATCAAATCATTAGTCGTAATAGTATTTCTCATATTTCTATAATTTATTAAAATCAACTATTTTTATTAATCAAAGCAAAATAAACACTCCCAACGTATGAGCATTCTGTCAGGTTTAAAATTTTAACTGTTAATGGAGAAATAAAGCCCAACTCAATCAACATCACCAACTATAAATATATATAGAAATTAATTTGTTAACATAAAACAATATATCGTCATGAATATATGTTGCATCGAAATTTAATAATTGGGGTAAAAGAATGATTCCAAGGACGTAATTAACATATCAAAATTACAGTTTGTTGGCAAAATTTAACTAAAAATGTTATTTAAAAGTAATTTCATATAAAAAAAATACCCAAATATACGAATAAATTTACATGTATGTGTATTCATGTGCATATACAGTGTGTAACAAAAAAAACTAGATATATTAATTTTCTCCATAAATACAGTGGTAGCGGAAAAAGATGACAATCAAATGATGTGATTTAATTTGTGCAATTTTTATTTAAAAAATCTCAAAAATTAACTATAACTAGCTTATAGTACATACTTCAATTTCTAATACTCTGTTTCATATTCTTTATTATCTATAACTAGTTCAAGACATTTTGACATTGATCATGCTAATTTTTAGCATAATTCCATGTTAATTTTTTCCCATTCCTTCTCTATTATTCTAATAAAAATCTCTTTTAATACAGATTTTTTTCATAAATCATTAAGTTAACTCTTTTCTTCACCCTTTTTTCATAATTGACCACAAGTTCTTAATTGGATTGAGATCTGGTAAGTACAATGACCAATCAAGCACATAAGGATACTGATCATTCAATAAAATAATCATAAGCTTAGCATGATGCTTAGAGTTATTATCTTGTTAAAATATTCACTTGTCATTAAGAATCTGATTTGCTTGCTCAAATAAATTTTCAGTTAGTATTTTATAATATAATTCATCATTCATAATTTTTACAAAAGTTTTAAATTCAATAATTCTCTTCATGCAGAATACTCCTTACATATGTACTTTAAATAAATATTTCACAATCCCTTGAGTTGGCACTGGTTATTCAGCTTTATAATGAACCTGAATCATATTCTAAAACATTTAAAAGGTGAATTTATCAGAGAAAATTGTAGTATTCCATCATTTTTTTAATATTTTTTTATCCAGATAAGCTGATATTATTTTGCTAATTTCATGAGAAAAGGAATCTTTTGTGAAATACAAACCTTAAATTCAAGTTCTTATAAATTTTGCTGAACTGTTCATGATTCTATATTTATGTATTATTAAGAGTTTTCACTATTTTCTTGCTCATTGCACTTTTTTTAGTCACAATTTGTTCAAGATATTTCTATTACTCAAGACTAAGTTTTTTTTTGATAATCTGAATGTCAATCTTGCTTTAGATTATTTATTTTGACAAGCTTGACAGGTATTTATATAATATTTTGATAGAAAATCCAGTTATTCTTCAAAATTTAGTGATTTTTCTATATCTATATTCTTATTATAATTAATACAAAAATATCTTCTTGCAAAAAAACTCATGTGTAATAATAATAATGATAAAAATATTTTTTATTCATCTTAAATCATATAATAAACATATTTACAACTAGCTTTAGTATTATTGCAATATAAAAAAAGATCTGATAACATAATTTCTAAAATGAAAAGAATTATCACTTTTTTCTGTCATTACTATATTTATTTAAATAACATAAAAATTTAAATATATATACTTGAAAATATAATAAACAACTTTATTTAAGCCTACTTGTACACTTATCTTATTAAAACTTTTTATAATTTATATTTTTAAAATTAAAAATTTTTAATAATAAGAAAACTTAAATAAATTATTATAAATAAATTTGATTATTATTTTTAAATTAATCTTAAGTAAACTTATTTACTAGATTATCAAGTATATATATTTAAAATTTTATATAATTGTAATAATTTTGATTGGGTTATCTTCCTTTAGATCTCTTTTAGTTTAGATCTTTATTTTGCACTATCTGTATAACAGATTAGCTTTATATTACATTTTTAAGAAGATCATTTTCACTCTGGATACACAGATGATCATTATATATTAAATACATCTAGATTTAGCATATTGTTACTCAAATGATCACCATGTGTACCACAATTATTAATTTAGATTATTAATATTTTTCTTTTAATAATTCTTTATATTTTTACTCGTTCTTACTTATTATTATTTATATTTATTTATATTATTATGTGGGAAGGCTGAAAAGTTTTACGTGTGATACTCTAACTTGAGATTGCATCAGTTTAACTGAAATTGGGAATAATCATCAAATATGCATGATTTTATGTAACAAATAAAAAAAAAGTAGAAGCAAATTCATTATCTCGTTGTCGAGAAAATAATTTTTTGCAAAGCATAGTAAAACAACTAAAAGAAAATGAGCCGTGAAAACTAATGATACTTTATTTTTGTTTCTTGGAAAAATGGCAGAAATGCAACTCAAATCCATGAAGAGTTGATGAATGTAGAAGGAGAACAAGCATTATCTATCAGCATAATTAGACGCTGGATTGCTATATTTAAAAATAGAGAAGAAGAAATTAAAGATAATGTCCATTCTGGATATTCTTGTGAAGTAATGTCATCAGAAAAAATTTCCAGGATCGAGAATCTTGTTAGTGATGACCCACATATTTCTATTAAAGAATTAATTAATGAAGTTGATATTTCCCATGAAAGAATTTCTTACATTTTGTATGAAGAGCTAAATCTTCACAAATTCTGTGCAAAATGGATTCCCCATAGGCTTTCAGAAGAACATAAATGAAATTGTGTCAAACTTTCCAAGCAACTATTAAAAATTTTAGATAGAGGATACAAAAATATTATTACTGATAATGAAATATGGATATATTTCTTTACTATTTCAAATAAGGAAGTGAACAAGTCATGACTAGAAAAGGATGAGAATAGGCCACAAATTGTGAAGATGGCTCAAAATTCAAAAAAAAGAATGTTTTGCATATTTTTTTCTGTAGATGGAGTTATTATACGATTTGTAATTCCAAAAAAACAAATAGTTAACACTAATCTTTATGTCAACGAGATACTACCAAAAGTTTTTTCGAACTTTATGAAAAAAAGGAATAGAATAACTATTTGTGATATCATGCTTCATCATAATAATATCGTAGCACATAAAGCAAGAATTATAATAGAATATCTTCGTAATGAACAAGTAGAACTTCTTTCCCATCTGCCATATAGTCCAGATCTTGCTCCTTGTGATTTTTTCTTATTTCCTCAAATAAAAAAAAAACTAAAGGAAAAGAGATTTGATAAGATCAAAAACTTGGCAAGGGCTATTTAGGTAGTTGTTGAAGGTATTCCAAAAAAGGACTATGAAAACTCTTTTTAGAGTTGGCGAAATCAGCTAGAACGTTATATAGAGTTTAATGGAGAGTACTTTGAAGGAATGAAGTAGTTGTATTGATAATTATTATAACAGTTCTAGAAATAAATATTCACACGCAAAATTTTTCAGCTCCTCCACGTATTTACATCATTTATAATTTATTAGATTATGATTAGTTGCCCTCTGAAGACGCGAATTAAGTTAATTAATTCTATTCAACCATATGTATTTTATTTATAGATTATTATTAATTTATTCGCATTTCGTATTCATTTCTTTTCTTATAAATATGACCT